GGATATAGCCAACTCCCGTAGTGCTCATATACTCACCAAAGCCAAGTCTAGACAGGATCAACCCGCGCTAATGAGGGCACAGTGACGGCCAGTCGGTAGAACCTCATAAAGGTATGGCAAATACCCCAACATGCCACATTACAGATCTCTTGAACAGAGATGCCTTTGAACAATGCCCATGATGTAGCCATACCTCTGGTGGATTAAGCCCTCAGGCCCTCCGGAGTGTAAAAAGGCTTTCCCCTTGTCTAAAAGGTCCTGCAGAAAGCAGAGTACCTCTGAGACAGAACAAAGAAAAGGAATGATTTGTTTTTGATCGCACCATCTTTCAAACACACACCAATCATTATCATATAGTGAGCGAGTGGCAGGGACCCTAGCGCTTTTGATAGTTTCCACAACTTTCAGCAGTAGACCTATCGCAATAAGATTCATCCTCTCACAGCCCTGGCTCAAAGTGCCACCATCTCTGGATGGGGATGGAAAATCTCTCAGTTCGCTTGGGTCAGTAGGTATCTGCATAACGGTAGCTGCCTGGGCTGATCGTATAGGAGAGAGGTAATCTCTGCTAACCATAGCCGTCCTGGCCACAGAGGATGAGAGACAACTGTTGTTCTCTCACCCTGAAGAGAGTGGCGAGAATTAAACTGAGAGGGAGGAACACTTAAAGCTGCACCCTTTGCCATTGGTGTGCCAACGCATTTACCCCTAGTGGCGCATTGTTGCCTGTTAGTGAAAAGAGCAGACAGTGTGCGTTTTTGCGCGATGCAAAGAGATCTACGGAAGCCTGTCTGTAATTCTCCCATATTTTGGCCACTATCTGGGGATGGAGTGCCCACTCCCCGTATAGGGTATTCTCCCTGGACAACAAGTCCGCTCCTGTATTCATTACGCCTGGGACATGGGTTGTGCGTAATGATAGGAGATGTGCGCTGCTCTACAACAGTAGTTTGTGGGCTAGTTTGTGCAGGCGCAGAGATCGGGTGCCACCCTGGCAGTTGATGTATGCCATTGTATTGTATTTTCTGTTCTGGTCAGGACATGACAATTCAGGCAGAAATTGCTTTACGGTTAAAAGCACCCTAAGCAATTCAAGGTAGTTTTTGTGAGTGAGGTGGAGTTGTGTGGGCCATAGTCCATTCGCAACTCTGCCTTCGTAAACTGCGTCTGTCGTCAGTCACCGACTTCCTCATAGCTACTATCCCTAGGAGAGAGTCTTTGGCCTTTGGAGAAGTTTGGAACAGGGTGAGGCACTGGCAGAATGAAAGGACTCGCCCTTCTGAAAGGGTGGCCAAGAAGGAAATATTATTTATTCTGATACCCAGATATTCTATGTTCAGTGTGGGCAACAAACAGCTCTCTATATGATTTATCCTGAACCCAAGCTCTGTGTCGTGGGTTTGGATAGCTGTCTCTTACTGCCTGCTCTCGTGTATGAGCACAGATCAGGTAGTCATCTACAGAGATTCTGAGCCCCCTGGACCTCATGGTTGTCAGAGCCACTTCCACACATTTGCTGAATGTTCTTGGGGCTAGTGATAGTCCGAACGGGACAACAAGATATTTGTAGGTAGTGTCCTGGAAGGCGAACCTGAGAAATCTCCTGTGTGCTGGCAAAATGCTTATGTCAAAATATGCATTTTGTAGAACGACTGTGGTGAACCAATCGTCTTGAGGAATTGTGAACTTTTTCAGATAGCTGTTGAGGACCCGTAGGTCCAATATGGGACCTCTGTTCTGAATGCCTACTTGTGGGTTAACAGTCTGCTGGGCCGCTGGTACTGAACTCTTCCTGCTGAGTAGGCACACTGGCTCATGATTGTGGAAGTTGTGCCCAGACGGGATCCGGGTTGGCGGGCAGGCAGAAGTTGAAAGTCTCTCCTTCTGCTCTGTGCAGTTCCACACTCTGCCGCATAGTAGCAACAGTGGGGCCAAACGGTTCCTTTGGCTCAATGGGAGCATCTAGGAAGTCTGCCTTCTCCTTCTCTGTGAGGCTGGACAGGTTCAGCCACAGGGCTCTCTCCCCCACCACTCATGACGCATCCACAGCCTTGGATAGCTCCCCTGGAGGCGAGGAGGTTGAGGTCTGAGACGACACAGATATCTTCCCAGAGTAGTGCGTTTGGCTCGTTCTAGTCAAGGACGTTACCCATCTCTTCCAGTAGCTCGCCCTGATATGCCATCAGTAGAACGGTAACGTTCAATGCTCCAACAGAGCGTGCTGCACATACATACGCCTTCTGGTCGATGGAGGCAGAAAACCGTTCCATCTTCTCAGGGAGAGTCAGAGCAGAGAGAGCAGAGGCATGGTGTTCTGGGTTGAGGTGCCTGTCCAGACAGCGTTCTACGACTGGAAGCTGGAAGTACCCCAGATCCTCCATATCGTGCAATTCCATGGCAGCAGTGTCCCTGGCTAGGGCTTTGCCCTATATGGGCTTTTCCCAGTTGTATTTGGCCTACAACAAGCAGGCTGGTATGGCTGGTATACGTTATTTTCCCGGGGTGGTATGGGACGGAAGCCTCTTTCCCTCTAACCTGTCCCTCTCAGTGTTCTGGCCTCCAACGGAGCAGGCCAGTCAATTTTGAGCTTGGTTGCAGCCCGTTTACACACATCAACGAGCCCGTACCCAGGAGCAGAAGGGCCATCCCCGCCCTGTGCGCTGTTGGGTCTGGGGGTGGGAGCTGGGAGTTCCTCCTCCACCTCCTCTTCTCCATGGAAGAGACGCAGGATATCGTCTTCATCCTCGTCTATGACCAAGTCATCTTTCCCTAATGCTAGGTTGTCAAACCGCATATCCGGGGGGAGAATGTCCATAACCTCAGCCCAGTTGTGCTCGGTACGGGCAAGTAGGGATTGTTGAGTTGCCTGTTCACCCGAAAGCTGGGAGGAAGATGAGCGTGGGGCGGCAGCCTGTCGTACCCAACGTTTGAGCCTAGAATTTGCCATAGGTGGAGTATGGACACCCAGGCTATGTGTGTGCTTTTCGACGCTGTAACCGTGTAGCTAGTAGACTGTTGTTAGCTAGCTAGTGTTCACTTTTGTAGCCTAGCTATAGAAAGGATGTTGTTAGCGGAAGAGAATGTGCGTTCTTCGTAGCTGTCAAAAGGTTTATCTTTCCACCTAGATGGGAATAGGCACCACAAAGTAGTTAGCTAAGTGGGCGAGAGCTAGCCAGGATCTACAGACTGAAAAGTTTTCTTCATTGTGAGCTCAATGAGAAGTTACTTTCTTACATTCGGTGGAGTCCTTGACGGTCCACCTGTGAACAGGTTAGCAGGAAAGCAGATGTCCAAGTCGATCGAATCCGTAAGAGAGATACAAGAAGTGAAGATAGGAGTGAACTATGGGCCCATATATGGGAAGTGGAGTGGTCCACTATTGGCCGTTGCTCCTGTCTGTCTACGACAGACATTGTGTGATTGGACCTTCCTTGACTCTGCCCCTAAAAGGGGACACCACCAATAAGTGAGAGACCAAACAAGTAATTTAAATAGAACAGGATTATGCCACCCTCTTAGATGTCCACTGGTAGACAGTCCAAGTCAAAGTAAAAGTTGTCAAAAATATGAATAGTAAAGTACAGATACCCCCAAAAACTACTTTAAGTAGTACTTTAAAGTATTTATACTTAAGTACTTTACACCACTGCTGGTACCTATACTGTACAGTCACATCTTCTAACTACTATGTTATTCGTTGATTTCGAAGTCTCTTGGGACTCTCCTTATAACTCTCCTTGTATATCATCATACATACAGTAGCTTACACTCGCTTTACATGTCAATAGACAGATCTGGAAGTGCCAAATTCACTTATTGATGTGTCATTATTCAGGATAATGAATAGGCAACAGTCTTATAGTGGTGGGGGAAATAGATTAGGCTATTTCAAGAAATTGTTCTGTAGGCTTACTATAAATCAAATGGAAAGCATGAAATTACGTTTATTATTATTTGTTTCATCCTGGAGTATAGGCTGCATTTATTGGTTGCACTATCATGTGGTACAGTAGCCTAATCATTGTAAAGTATGAGTGATGCTGATGTGTGTCTAGAGACAGACCACAGTCATTACGAGGCACAGTAGAGCGTACCTGCTGCACAGACAAGACTGGAACAAAAAATAACTATTGTGGAGCTCTTCCAAAGGTAAGTCTCTCTCTGATAATAGTCATCCTGCAGATTTCTATGAAATGGCAACTTTGGTCTTCTCAGTCGTATGAATTTCACTCACCATTCTCACTGAGTTTATACTTTAATTTCTTACAGTAAAGCAATTGCTTCAGTAAGAATATAAGTGCCATTTGATAAAGTTATAGTAAAAAATAATGACAATAATAATAATATAATGTATAATATAATAATATGCCATTTAGCAGACGCTTTTATCCAAAGCGACTTACAGTCATGTCTGCATACATTTTTACGTATGATGGATAAATAAATCATGATGGAGTGGATTTGTCCAAATGTCAACCTTTCCTGAATGACTATGGTTATGACATTTTTTGTTGTTGAGGGAATGTTGTTGTGTATGGCTTTATCGTTTTCAGAACTGGGTTCAAATACATGTGTATTTGATTATTTGTTATTTAAATACTTATTTTTCTGTGTATTTTCAAATAGTTTCCTATAAATAGCCTACTATCAAATACTTATTTCAAGTACTATTTTCAATACCTGGTTTAAATGCATGGGAGTGTATTTGAGTCAGTGTATTTGAGTATTTCCAAATACATTCCAATATTCAACTACTTGTCTTTTCAAATAAAAAATATCTAAATACTTACTTCCAAATGCCTTTCCAATACCTTCAATAGTATTTGAGGTCTGATCGTTTTCTTTTTCTATTATTTCCTTTAAAGAAATCTGTCTGTATCTGCAAAGTTTTTAACGGCAAAATGTAGACTATAACTCATTTTTCTAATGTGATTCCACTTGGAAGGGGACTTGTGAAAATGGAGATTGCCTCACTGAATGTAACTGCTGTGAACAGCAACATGCACAGCGTCGCTATGGACAGCGCCAACCGCACCTACATGCCTTATTACCTGCACTCCACCGGCATGTCCGTCAGCTACATCCTGTGCTATGTGGTGGTTCTCCTGCTCTGTGTCGGGGGGAATGTACTGGTCTCCCTGGTGGTCCTCCGGAACCGCAACATGCGCTCCGTCACTAACCTATTCATCCTCAACTTGGCCGTCAGTGACCTGCTCATTGGAGTGTTCTGCGTTCCGACGACTTTGATTGACAACCTGATATCAGGTGGGGAGTTTTGCTTATTATAGCCTGGACTCATTATTGGGACGCTTGTCATGACAAATTATAGTTATTACTGGTGCATCAATTTGTCGCTTTGGGAATGAGTGTTCAGAACTTTCCTGCAGTCCTTTTGTCTGCATCATTAAATCCAGCCAGTTAAATTCCCATTTGGCTTTGATTTAACATTTTCTTAACCTCTTGGGCATTTAGTGTAATATTGTAATAGTGCTTGTATTTTGATTCAAATGGGACTTCTGTGGCTTTATCAAAGGTTTCACTCTGGAGTGGAGTGAAAACGCTGAATTTCAATCAACTTGGTGTTGATATGAATCAAAAAGTGAATATCTATGACATGTATGCGTTTTCACACCTTTTCAGCCCTTTGCGCCCTTATATATATTTACACTGAGTATACAAAACATTAAGAAAACCTAAAAATACACAGTGAAACAACAAGTCATATTTCTGAAATATAGTGTCCTTCTTTTGTCTTACTGTATGAAAGTGAGGTGTACATATACTGAGTGTACAAAACATTATTAACATCTGCTCTTTCCATGACATAGACTGACGAGGTGAATCCAGATGAACTCTGTGATCGCTTGTTTATGTCACTTGTTAAATCCACTTCAATCAGTGTAGATGAAGGGGAGGAGACAGGTTAAAGAAGGATTTTTAAGCCTTGAGACAATTGAGACATGGATTGTGTATGTGTGCCATTCAGACGGTGAACGGTCAAGACAAAAAATGTAAGTCCCTTTGAAACGGGGTATGGTAGTAGGTACCAGGCGCACCAGTTTGTATCAAGAACTGCAATGCTGATGGGGTTTTCACACTCAACAGTTTCCTGTGTGTATCAAGAAGGGTCCACCACCCAAAGCACATCCAGCCAGCTTGACACACCTGTGGGAAGCATTGGAGTCAACATGGGCCAGCATCCCTGTGGAACGCTTTCCACACCTTGTAGAGTCCATGCCCCGATGAATCAAGGCTGTTCTGAGAGAAAAAGGGGGTTGCAACTCAATATTAGGAAGGTGTTCCTAATGTTTGGTATACTCAGTGTATATCCACACATTTAATAAAAGCCAGATTAATTAAAATTAAGACATTTGGTGTAGCATATCTGTGACTAATAATATAAGGTATTAATAATTAGTAGCCCTTTCCTGCAGTCAAATGACCTAGTGGCTACATGGGTTGAATGTTTCTTAATATATTTCATAATTTAATCATTAATAAACTTTTTTTTTTTAACTGCGAAAATCCGGTGTTTCTATGTCAAACAGTTTTGATCTTTTTCAGTCTTCTGTGATGTATATAAAGTGTAATATTGGGATGCAAAATCAAAATTGAATACATTTCAACTCTACATCTGACAGGTGTCTTCTTTTTTTAAGCCCATAATCATGTGTGTGAGGTGTTTAATTTAGTTTCAAAGTAGATTTGTTTAAGACTACCAAGAAACACTCTGTGTGACCCTGATTTAGCCCACTGCAGTAAAGGTGATTAATAATCCCTGCCAGCTATGCATGTGTAGCCTGGTCCCAGATCTGCTCGTGCTAACTCCATTGCTGTCATTCTTAAGCCAAACGTGTTTGGCATGGCAATTCTTTAAAGAGTTGGCGAGGGAGAGCAGTAACAGACTGGCAACCAGGCTACTGCTTGTGTGTAATGGACTCTGTCTTTTCAGGATGGCCATTTGGCCAGATCACATGCACCATGAGCAACCTGGTCCAGGGGATGTCAGTGTCAGCATCAGTCTTCACTCTGGTGGCCATAGCTGTTGACAGGTAATACACCACCAGTGGGCTAGTGTGATGGACCACACTAGCCTGGTCCCACATCTATTTGTAATCTTGTCAACAATTGCTGTAATTGTCAAGCCATACATTTGTAAAGAGTCCTCTTTCATCATATTCAGCGTTTTGTTATTGGGCAGCCTTAGTGATGGTAAAGAATGGCATCAACATAATGGTGACCAAAATAATGGTCTATTACCATCTCAGTGATGGTAAAGAATGGCAAAGGACTGGAAAATAATAGGGAATCAAGTAATGGTTGACAGAGAAATATATAACTGCTTAAATAATTCAGGGACTATATTGCATTTTGTGATAGTAATCAATTAATAATATTCACAATACCCTTGGTGCCATCGGAAGGGTGATGTCTCTCTCTCTCTTTCTCTCTCTCTTTCTCTCTCTCTCTCTCTCTCTCTCTCTCTATCTCTCTCTCTCTCTACCTAACCCCCCCCCCCCCCTTCTCAGGTTCACAGGTATTGTGTACCCCTTTAGACATCGGACGAGGCCTGTGACTGCTCTTCTCACCATCCTTTTCATATGGGTGCTGGCATTTGCTGTCATCTGCCCCTCGGCCGCCAATCTGACCGTTATACACCTGGAGGACACCTACATGGTCCAGGACAACCAGACCTACCCTGTCTTCGTCTGCTTCGAGAACTGGCCTCGACCCGAGATGCGTCGGGTCTACACCATGGTCATCTTCGTTCACGTGTACCTGGCCCCCCTGGGCATCATCAGCATCATGTATGGCTGCATCGCTGCCAAGCTCTCTATCAACCTAAGGCAGGTGAGGCTGGGAAAAGTGCGGAGGGTCCACTCCCAACGCAGGGCTAAAGTGATCAAGATGCTGATCATGGTGGCTGTGCTCTTCATGGTGTCATGGCTACCTCTGTGGACGCTAATGCTGCTGACTGACTACAGGGATCTGGACACACAGCAGATTAACTTCCTCAGCAGCTACCTGTTCCCAGTGGCCCACTGGCTGGCCTTCTTTAACAGCGGGATTAACCCCATCATCTATGGCTTTTTCAATGAGAACTTCCGCAGGGGATTCCAGGCTGCAGTGGCCTGCAGGTCCTGTTCACAACCAACAATAACAACAACAGTGGTGGTTAATACACGCTTTAACTTCCCGCCCCCTAACAGAGTATTCAATGATAACCCTGAGTCCTCTGGTGGGAAGAAAGGCCACAGCTCCAGGGGCACTCCTAAGATTATCCCACATGGAACCAATGAAATCCTCCTGGATGACAGGAATGTTGCTTCCAACAGGGTGATTGGTGCCTGGGTGGAGTGACTGTAATTAGGGTTATGACGATTATGGAATTTTGGGCAACGATTTATTGTCATGCAAATTGTCATTTTTTTTGGTCATAATTGACAACAATTATGGGGGGGGGTTCTACTAAGCTAATGTATGTAATTGTTTTAAGATGGTCATACCATGGATCATTTAGCTATTTGATTCTGAATTGTAGGACCCCTGTAGGTATAGAAAACATATTTACAAATTATTTGATGAAACATTGAATTTGGCCTTACTGCTATTAGCCCATAGAAACACATTGAATACCACGTTCATACATGGCAAAACATATTCCAAAAATAAATACAAATGAAGTATGGTTTGAGGTGTCTGAAATACATCTGATAGGAACAAAAAGCATCAGGAACAAAAAATTAGGAACAAAAAAATAATAACAAATTTGACATGTGCCGTTCTGCTCGTAAAATGATTACCAACATGACCCACTTCATGTAAAAAAAAAAAGTTTTGCCCATAATTGTTGGTTACACGATTAAATGATAATTTAGCCAGCACTAAATCTAATACAATACATTTGTATTCATCACAACATCTTTACCATAACCTTAACCTCATCCCTAACCTTAAGCCGAACGCTAACCCTCATTCAAGTCCAAATAGCTAATTTACTTATTCATAAAACTGTGCAGCATGCTATGGCCACCTAGTGAAAATCAGGGAAAGAAGGAACTTTTAATTTGCCAGTGTACAGATAATGCCTGCTAGAGGGCGCCAAATCTATTAGTTTTGCCCTGGTTACACAGAGGAATTTGTATGCTGATGAGATGTCCATGCTGGATATCAGATTCATTCCCAGCATGTCCTGATTACCCTGGAGATGCACCCTGGACAAGTGCACACCATCAGATTCCATCAGACTCAGTTTGCATTTATATCATGATCTCTCCCTTGGCTAGAGGTTTCCCTTTTGGAGTAATACCTCCTGTTGATTGACTTTAAAATACGATACAAACTACAAACTAAACCTTATACCACCAATATAAATAGGATCACACAAACACATGCACGCATGGGGGAATTAGTGGAGAACAATTGAAGGGTTACTCCGTAGCAATGCAAATTTCACGGTACAGCTATATGGACACTCAATCATTATGGTATTTTTTATTGGTAAATTTACAAACATATATAATGATAAATAAACTTGAAACTTGTATCTCATTATGGTGTATGGTGAAATAAGTATAGCCAGTTATAATTGTAATGGCTTAGCTGATAACAACAAAAGAAGAACAATATTTACATGGCTCAAAGAGAAGGAATATAATATCTATAGTCTACAGGACACTCATTCAACAATTCGAGATGAAGATGTGTGGAAAAAGGAATGGGGGGGGGGGGGGGGGGGGGGGGGGATATACTTCTCCCATGGGCAAAGAAATTCAAAAGGGGTGATGATATTAATTAATAGTAATTTCAATCCGAATGTGCAAATTGTCCAAATAGATACGCAAGGTAGATGGATTATTTTAAATATGTTATTGGACCATAAACAGATATGGCTATTTAACCTTTACTGACCAAATAATGATGATCCACAATTCTTTGACAATATAATAAATTATCAACCCTGCAAGCAATTCAAGACAATATTATTATGGTGGGGGATTATAATACTGTTTTAAATAGCTCAATGGACCGTAAAGGAAATCACACCACAAACAATCACCCACATGCTCTTAAGGAAATTGTGAATGTCATGGATACATTAGAACTAGTAGATATATGGAGGCTTAAATATACTGATCTAGTGAGATATACATGGCGGAGACTGAATCAAACTAGTCGTCTTGACTTCTTTCTTATCTCATTCTCGTTGGCACCAAAAGTTTCAAAAAGTGTTGATAGGGGACAGAATGCGGTTGGACCATCATATAATTGGCATATACATTACTCTTACTGAATTTCCACGTGGGCGAGGATATTGGAAATTTTATCAAAGCCTATTGGATGATAATTTATTTATAATTAGAACAAAGGAATTTATAACTGACTTTTTCCGACATAACATAGGTACAGCAAATCCCCTTATTGTATGGGACACCTTTAAATGTGCCTTTAGAGGCCATGCAATTCAGTACTCATCTCGGAAAAAAAAGCAATTTAGGTCAAAAGAGTTTATACTAACAAAGGAAATAGAAAGTCTAACAGAACAGATAGATGGCAATAAAAACTGTAACATAGAGGCACAGAATAAATTTGAGGAAAAACAAAAAGAAATGGAGAAACTTATTCAAGAAAGATCAAGTGTAATATATTATAAAATAAAGTAAACTGGATGGAATATGGGGAAAATGCACAAAATTATTTTTTAATCTTCAACATAGGAATGCTACCAAAAATAACTTAATGAAACTGGTTACAATTGACGGAGTCACCCATGATTCACAAAGTACTTTAAGCATATGTTTTCTTTTCAGTCGCCTCCATCTCCTCTAACTGAAGCTAATTGTAGTGATTTATTTATTTATTGATAATGTCAAATTAACAGCCATACAGAAAGACTCATGTGAAGGTGAAATTACAGAGGAGGAACTTCTGGATGCAATTAAAGACTTTAAGTCTGGGAAAACTCCAGGGTTGGATGGCATACCAGTCGAGGTATACCAAACCTTTTTTGATATACTAAGAGGACCGTTGTTAGCATGTTTTAACCACTCCTATGTAAATGGTATATTATCTGACACTCAAAAAGAAGGTCTGATCTCATTATTACTGAAACAGGATACAAGTGGAAAATATAAAGATCCAGTCCATTAAAAAAATTGGAGGCCCCTTACACTTCAGAGTTGTGATGCAAAAATTCTAGCAAAATGTATAGCGCATGGAATTAAAAAGGTATTGTCGGATATTATTCATTCTAATCAGACAGGTTTTTTACATGGAAGATACATTGGAGATAATATAAGGCAAGTATTGGAAACAATAGAACACTATGGAAAATATGGGAAACCAGGCCTGCTATTCATAGCAGACTTCGAAAAGGCATTTGATAAAGTACGACTGGGGTTTATATATAAATGCCTGGAGCATTTCAATTTTGGAGAATCTCTTATAAAATGGGTCAAAATCATGTATAGTAACCCTAGGTGTAAAATAGTAAATAATGGCTATTTCTCAGAAAGTTTTAAACTGTCAAGAGGAGTGAAACAAGGTTGTCCACTATCGGCATATCTATTTATTGTGGCCATCGAGATGTTAGCTATTAAAATCAGATCCAATAATAATATCAGAGGATTAGAAATCCAGGGCTTAAAAACAAAGGTGTCATTGTACGCTGATGATTCATGTTTTCTTTTAAATCCACAACTAGAATCCCACCACAGCCTCATAGAGGATCTAGATACATTTTCTAACCTCTCTGGATTACAACCAAATTATGACAAATGTACTATATTACGTATTGGATCACAAAAAAATACAATTTTTACATTACCATGTAGTTTACCAATAAAATGGTCTGATGGTGATGTGGATATACTCGGAATACATATCCCAAAGGAAATAAATGATTTCACTTCAATACATTTTAATAGAAAGTTAGCAAAAATAGATAAGATCTTACTACCATGGAAAGGAAAATACCTGTCAATTTGTGGAAAAATCACCCTGATTAACTCTTTAGTATTATCCCAGTTTACCTATTTGCTTATGGTCTTGCCTACGCCTAGCAAACAGTTTTTAAAATTATATGAGAAAAAAATATTCAATTTTATTTGGAATGGCAAGCCAGACAAAATTAAAAGGGCCTATTTATATAATGAATATGAATTCGGAGGACAGAAATTATTAAATATTAAAGCATTAGACCTATCACTAAAAGCTTCAGTCATACAAAAGTTATACTTAAATCCGAACTGGTTCTCAAGCAAATTAGTAAGATTGTCTCACCCAATGTTCAAGAAAGGCCTTTTTCCCTTTATTCAGATTACAACAACTCATTTTCAGTTATTTGAAAAGGAAACAATCTCCCAAATATCACTATTTCTAAAACAAGCCATAGAAAGTTGGTTGCAAGTTCAATTTAATCCTCCAGAAACGACAGAACAAATAATGCAACAAATATTGTGGTTAAATTCAAATATACTAATTGACAAAAAACCTTTATTTTTTGACAGAATGTTTAAAAAAGGTATAATCTTCGTAAATGATATCATCGGTAGGACTGGTGGAGTTATGTTGCACATGCAGCTAACAAAAACATATGGAAATGTCTGCTCTATCCAAAATTACAACCAAATAATTGCAGCCTTACCGCAAAAGTGGAAGAGGAAAGTGGAAGGGTGAGAAAGTAAGGAACTTGTCTGTCGGCCTTGCATTAAAGAACATAATTGGTTAAGGAAAACTGTGATAAATAAAAAAGTATATCAGTTTCACTTAAGGACCAAAGGATTGACAGCCGTCCCATATAGATTGCAAAATAGTTGGGAAGAGATTTTTGACGTACCGATCCCATGGCATAGTGTTTATGAACTGACACGCAAAACGACACCGGATTCAAAAATTAGAATCTTTCAATTTAAATTATTATATAAAATTCTTGCTACCAATATAATGTTATTTATATGGGGGATACAATCTTCCCAGCTCTGCAGATTTTGCTGTGAAGAGACAGAATCATTAGATCATTTGTTTTGGTTCTGTCCATTTGTAGCTTGTTTTTGGACACAGGTCCAGGAATGGCTAAAGGATTGCAATATTTACCTGGAGCTAACCTTGCAGATAGCATTACTGGGTGATCTGAAAAGTCATAGTCAATCGATCAATAATATAATAATACTTTAAGCAAAAATTTTAAATTCACAATCTGTAGAAGCAATGAGAATAGAAAGGTTCAGAAATTTTGTAAAACATCACAGTACGGTTGAAATATATATGGCAAATAGAAATCCTATATGGATGGTGTTAAGAGATAGATGGGAGGTATTGAATGGAGTTGAAGGATGGGACTAATAACAAATAACAACAAA